TTGTGCCCTTGAATAGCATTCCTTCACTATACATTTACCCATTTGTTGTCGCGGCTCAACTCTGTCGGCGTCACATTGAACACTGAAATGACGTCAGCTAGGCATATGGCTGTGGCCATATGTGCAGTGGCAACGCTTTCGCGCTGTTATTACTGATCTAGTGTATTATATAAATCAATGGATTTTGGTATCATCTAATACGGTACAGTCAAATAGCTCACGCTAAGTATTTTATACTACATGTCTTTCATTGTCATTTTTGACGACACTCACAGATACGGGATACTCGAGACGGACTCACAAGTAAAATAACCAAGGAATTGAGTAAATTATAGGCTAGTGTATCATATTGTAAATAAAGAACAAATTAATCGTTATAACGAAATCCACAAAAGAATTAAAAAGTATTTTACTGTTACATAAATACACTTGATAATAAAACTATTTATTTGAATAAGATTTAATACCAATAACCTAACCTTACGAACCAATCTTTGTTTCTGTACGGGCGTTGGGTGCGTGTTGTATGGTTATTCATTACTAGGTGCTTATGCCCGATAGTCCCGTAAATGACTCTCAGACGGCACCAAAGTTGCCTATCGGGTTAAGTAATTAAAATCTCAAGAGTCACTAATGTTATATTCAGAGATTACAATTTACAGATTAATATATTTGCATTCGGCGATACTTGCCGTGTAGTGGCGGTTAAGAATATCCACTACCCCATATCTTCCCGTGGGTGTCGTAAGAGGCGACAGAGGGAGACAGGCAGGAGATGGGCAGCAGCATCTTCCTGATAACAACAATAACATAATAAAAAACTGCGGTTGCCAACTCGCTCGCCAAGCGTGGCAACTATGGCAAATATCCCCCCATGAACAATTACACAAATAGACGGCCCCCAGTCCCCGGCGGCCCCGCTATTCCTGGCTACGGTGGCCACCATGGTAACGGCGGGGCAGGGGGTGCTAAGAATCTCCGGTGGAGGTTCGGTTGCCACCTACGACGACTCGCCCTGGCAAAGTATAACGCACGCACCCTGAGGACTGACGAGAAGATACTGGAGCTGGAAGAAGAGATAGACAAGCTGCGCTGGTATATTATTGGATTATCTGAGGTCCGAAGAGAGGGGAAGGACACAGTAATCCTCGAGTCCGGCAACTTGTTCTATCACCGGGAGGGCGACCATCTGTCCCAAGGACGTGTCGGATTTATCGTCCACAAGTCTCTCGTCAACAACGTTGTAAAGATTGGGAGTGGTCGACGAGGGTCGCGTACCTGATACTCAGAATCATCAAACGGTATTCGCTGAAGGTCATACAGGTCTACGCACCAACCTCGACATATCCCGATGAGGAGGTGGAGGAAATGAATGAGGATATCCAAATCCATGCATTCCTCCAAAACCCACTACACGGTGTTGATGGGAGACTTCAACGCAAAACTAGGCACAAGAGAAGGCGTTGAGCTGAAGTTAGGGAAATTTGGAGTAGGGTAACGGAACCGTAGGGGCCAGCAGCTGGCTGACTTTATGGAGAAAGAGGGACTCTTTATGATGAACTCTTTCTTCCAGAAGCGGCCCCACAGGAAGTGGCGAGTCCCGACGGTTCGACAAAAAGTGAGATTGACTTCATTATGACGACCAGACGCGCACTGTTCAGTGATGTCTCAGTGATCGCAAGGGTGAAAACCGGCAGCGATCACTGAATGGTTAGAGGCACACTGAACCTAAACGTTAAGTTGGAGAGGTCTCGTCTAATGAAGTCAACGCTCCGTCCCCCTCGTGCTCTAATCCAGAATCCCGAGACTTTTCAGCTCGAGTTACGTAACCGCTTTCAGTGCCTAGAAGATTGCAATGCAGTGGACGATATGAATGAAAAGCTCGTGGAAACTGTCTATGCGGTCGGAGCTAAGTTCTGCAAGACCCGACGCAGAAGAACACAAAAACTCTCCGATCACACTCTTAATCTCATGGCAGTAAGACGGGAGATGAGGCTGCAATCGTCAACAGATTTGACAGCATACAGGCAACTGAACAGACAGATCTCCAAATGTATGCGGCGAGACTTACGCAACTTTAATACTGCTCGTATTAAAGAAGCGATCGAGCGGAACCAGGGCTCCAAAGTCTTTGCCAGAGATCTGTCTGCCAGAAAGAGCCAACTGTCAAAGCTGAAGACTGAGTGTGGCAGCATCGTTTCCGAGACACCTGAGATTTTGAGTGAGATTGAGAGGTTCTATGGGCAGCTGTACACATCATCGTTGGAGCCACACGCAAGTGTGAGTAACGATCCAAGAGCAAGTCTCACCAGACACTATTCCGATGATATCCTTTACGTCAGTCTGAGCGAGATTAGAATGGCTCTCCAGCACCTTAAAAACGGTACGGCCCCAGGCGAGAATGGAATTACAGCGGAGCTTCTGAAAGCGGGTGGAACACCGGTGCTTGAAGTCCTTCAGAAGCTCTTCAATTCCGGAGGCGTGGAGCAGAAGTGCGGTGGTTTTGTTCTTTAAGAAAGGTGACAACGCTCTCTTGAAGAACTACAGACCGATTTCCCTTCTGAGCCGCGTCTACGTGCTGTTTTCGAGAATCATTACGAATCGTCTCGCACGCAGACTCGACGACTTCCAGCCTCCCGAACAAGCCGGTTTCCGAAAAGGCTTCAGTACCATAGACCACATACATACCCCCTGTAAGCTCTGACAGCGCGCGACATGTTATACTCCCGTTCGCTCGGGACCGTAATGGCGGGAAAATTTGTAAGTTAGCAAATTTTTTGCTATATTGCAAATTTTGCTATATTTTCACTTTGAGACAATATTTATGGATAAAACTTACAGGAATTCTTGTTGAATGTATAAACTATCGAATAAAATTATTTTTGGTTGCTAGAAATTGTAATAAAATACGTAAATTACCCTGTATAGCTGTATAGTGGTATATACTTCAATTTTAGTGACAAAATTACTACTAATTTGAATTCTACACTTTGGTTTTTAGACAAATTTATGTGAAAATGTTTGGAAATATGTATATTTTTATGTTTTATGTGTTTCCATTCTTTACTCATACCAAAATATTAAAATATAAAGAAATTAAAAAATAATAATAATATTTTATCTGTGTGACATTTAGAACAATATTTCTAAAATAGTTTTGTGTGAATTTGAAATAAATACAACGTCAAGTTATTTGAAATATGTAAGAAAACTATTTTTACTTACATTTTACACTAAAAATAAATGAGAATTTGAAAAATAACACATTTATGACCCAGCCGCCATAATGGGCCTTCCAGATTTTGAAACACTTTTGGCAATTTACTTTTCACTTTTTATACCACAAATTATATATATATATATATATACGTGTTCACTATATTACAAGGAATATAAAAAAAGTATAATACTTTCGTTTTTAGTCCAGACACAAATATAAAATTCTATAAAAAGATATTTCTAAGAAACATTGCCAGGTTATGGTTTAAAATAAAAGAGCATATCTTTGTCTTTGATACTATTATCTATTGCATTGTGTCTTTGGTTTTGTTTAAAACGAAAAAATAGTTTTTTTCATAGGTACACACGTTTACATAATTCTGATCAAATTAGATCACTGCTTGGCGGACGTAAGGTAGGTATTGTACGATCAAAAGTGCGCATGGCTTGGCTTACAGGTAGCGGTGCCAAGTTGACTATAGGTATATCGAAGTGCTGAAGTGTTTGTACAGTAGGGCTACGATGGCTATTCGAGTACAGAATCAGAGCTCGAAACCTATCCAACTGCAGAGAGGTGTAAGACAGGGTGATGTTATATCCCCGAAACTCTTTACCGCTGCATTGGAAGACGTTTTCAAGCTACTGGACTGGAAAGAATACGGTATTAACATCAATGGCGAGTACATCACTCACCTTCGATTTGCCGACGATATAGTCCTTATGGAAGAATCGCTGGAGGTAGCACTATGCTCAATGACCTCAATGGTGTCTCCCAACGGATAGGTTATAAGCTGAACATGGACAAAACAAAGATCATGTTTAATGTCCATGTCTCACCTATACCGGTAGTTGTTGGGAGCACTATGCTCGAAGTTGTTGACGAGTACGTTTACCTGGGTCAATTAGTCCGACTAGGTAAGTCCAACTTCGACCGAGAGGTCAATCGACGGATTCAACTCGGCTGGGCAGCGTTCGGGAAATTACACACACATCTTCTCGTCAGGTGTACCTCAATCTCTGAAAACTAAAGTGTACAACCAGTGCGTGTTGCCAGTAATTATTTACGGATCAGAGACGTGGTCCTTCACTGCTGGCCGTATGAGGACGCTCAAGGTCGCTCAGCGAGCTATGGAGAGGGCTATGCTCGGAGTTTCTCTGCGTGATAGACTCAGATATGAGGATATCCGTAGTAAAACCAGAGTGACCGACATAGCCCAACGGATTGGTAAGCTGAAGTGGCAATGAGCCGGCCATATAGCTCGAAGAACCAATAACCGATGGGGAAGAAAGGTTCTCGAGTGGCAGCCTCGTACCGGTAGGCGTAGTGTAGGGCGACCCCCCACTAGATGGAGTGACGACCTGGTAAGACATACAGGAAGTCGATGGATGTAGGTGGCTCAGGACCGTGCTTTGTGGCATTACTTAGGTGAGGCCTATGTTCAGCAGTGGACTTGTGAAGGGCTGTAATGATGATGATGATGATTCGGCGATACAATATAATTATATCCTGATTGTCAACGGCCTAGCATGTGCGGTGACTTGAAACGACTGGCGTTTGTGTCAAGCGTCTCCGAAGCAGTGTTGGAATCGGACAGGTAAAAAAAAATTGTACGTTTCGTTCAAAAAGATAGTATTTATTAAAAAAAGATCGTACATCTAAGAAATAAAATATAACACGATAATATTTTTATTTATAACACTTGAAAAGAATTATAAATAAAGAAAATAAGAAAGTATGCTATTTAATAATAAATTATACAACAAAATTATCACTGTTGGAATTATAGTATATTTATATCAATTTCTGCAACTTGGTCAATATTTTGCATTCCGTCATTACTTTTATTATTGGCTCTTTGTAACATTTCTTCCATCGGTTCAAAATCAAGTGCAATGGCAATTGCAATGATTTTGAACCGACTATCTCTTTTGTTGCGTTTTATTGCAACGCATGACAGTAAGATTTCATCAATAGTTCCTGTTACTAGTCTGTTCCGAGTCCTTGACTTGGTAAGATTGATCTTACTAAATATTCGTTCACAATCTGCGTTTGCGTGTGGAAGCACGAGACAATCCAACGCGAATTGGTAAATATCGCTGAAAGGCTTGTTTTCTGTCAGATCACTCCATTTACTAAGTTTAGTCCAAAATACATCTACTTTCTTTTCAGTTTTTATTTTATTTCTTCCCTTAACAACTTATTAAAGTATTTGAAAGAATCAATGTAACATCACTATTTACGAACAACAAAATTTTATAGTTACGCAAAGAATGATAAGAAATAATTATATAATATGAATTAAAGGTGTAAGGTAAATGATAACATCAATCTACTTACTTTGCGACAAGAAATAAACTTTTTTACGTTATATTTACAAAAACAAAATTACTCACCTATGAAATGATAATTAGCGTGATTTTTGACTATAATTTGAGGCACAGCCTTCTTACACAACACTAGTCATCTTCGTAATTTATACAAAATTAGAAAATTCACTAATCAATTTCATAAACTGCTGAAAAATTTGTAAAATGTTATAATAAGAAATATCAAACAACTTCTTTTATCAGCAAATCTCGAACATATAAATGGCGGAATCGGCCGCAAGGCGGGATTAAATGACGTCATCGTAAAAATGTTTACTGGTACACGAAACAATTTCTATCGTCTATTTCTTTTATGAATGACATTTTTAGCTGAGTTAAAAAGAGATAGGTAGCGTATTGATAGTTCAATGTCGAATTTAACCATATTTGTATAACCAATAAATCAAACAGACGCTCTGGGCAGCTCCTCTATTTTCTATACTCAAAGTAGCAAGCCGAAGTTCGAACTCCGAATATAAGTGTAAAGTGTCAATTAAGCAAAATGTATGTAACTACTATGTACCTACATTTCTATCGGCAATCTAATAAAATTGAAAAAAGCAGCGAATATCGTGACTTAACTATGATAGTTAGCTATATTCCTTTGTGGACTTTTTTGTAGGTAAGAAATAATGAGTACTTTAATCACGATGTATATATACATAAAATGTATATGTATCATCTATAATTTTCTCAGCGTCCGCCAAATAATGAATTTTATAGGCAAATTTTGCTACTTTCTGTAATATTATTGCGACTTTCTTAAGGATCTCTATTTTTTTTAAATAAATTATAGCCTATTATAGCCTATGTTAATTCCTGATAATTACTTAAGCTTTCTATTAGTGAAAAAATGGTTAAAATTGGTACAGTAGTATCGGAACTTATTCGGTACAAACAAATAAACAAAAATTTTTCCTCCTTATAACATTTATATATCCAACATATATTACGTGAATAGTTATTGAGTCTTTTTAGTTACCTCTGATACGGAAAAAAACCTCTGTCCTTGGAAGAACCAGTAAGAAACCCAGTGGGATCTTTATATATAATAACTTCTTGAAAAACTTACTGGACTGTTTTTAAAACTTTTCGAGTAATACACTGAATAAATATAGTATACGTGGTAGTGCCACGCAAATGGATCGGCTTAACCATATTTAAGGGAAGAACTACGCTCTCACAGAATCGCAGTGTAAATTAGAAGCTGAATTCTGCTGTTTCGTATGATGAGTTTAGAGTTAGAGAACTCCAGTTTCCTTACTACTGAAAATGAGGCAATCCATCTTAGTCCAGAGAGGTGACAATGCATCTGTTTAACATAGAAGAGGATATAAATGTCTATTACCCACAACATTATTTATCATCGGCTAGACTACAGCTGAAGCTTGGCTCTTCCACGTACGTAGAGCCATGCTACCGCGAATCTCAATTACAGCCCATCAAAACAGTGTGAACAAGAGTGAAGCAACACTAGCTTAATCGCAAGGAGCAAACTGCGAACTCAAAAGGTCGTGGATTCGAATCCGCCATTCGACTACTGTCGTAAACCACTCCTAGCACAAACATTTTAAGCTTACCATGAGTGGTTAAATAGAATATTAGTAATGTTAATGGCATTGCTAGTATTTAAAAAAAAAATAAATTGCGAGATTAATGACTTACTTCTTACCAACGTTTGGTCGACTTTAGCAAAACTTTGTTCATTTTGATTAGTACAATAAAAGCTTTGTTGCTATTGTTGCGAAACTTCTAGCTGATTAGCGCAATCGTTTCTAAATTCCGATCATTACTCAAATATCCTGCTGTTTATTTCAACGCCAGTCTTTATCACCGTTAAAAGTTTTGTTACTTAAATAAGAATATATTTATCTGTAAATGATGCTATATTTATAAGTAATTTTTCTAATAATTTTTTATATCGTGTCGGTAGCTCAGTGGCTAAACATTTGTGTAAGCAGTATGTGACCACATGTTCGAGTCCCGCACGGATGAAGTATTTACTCGTGTCACCTCTGAGGATTAAGTTGGAATGCCTCCTATCCTGTGATTACACTAGCTCATTATACACATCAAATAGGAAACAGCAGTGCACGTGCTATTGGTAACAGAAATAGGCACTAGGGTGGCACTGACCCCGATCGACTCATAGGCAGAAAAAGAGTTCTACCACTTAGTGTTTTACATGCTCAAGAGCATGACGACTCCGTGGCGCAGTGGCTTAGCAATAAGTAGCTGCGCTGGGGGTCGCGGGTTCGAATCCCGCACGGAACAAATATTAGTATGGCCTACATATAGTTGTTCCGGATCTGAATGTTTGTCCTTGTGCAATTTATGTTTGTAAACTGCCCCCACGATACAAGAGAAAATCTTAGTGTAGGGGTAACGTTTTTAAAAAAAGAAAAATAAAAAAAAAAAAATTCATATTTGACCTCATAGGTCTCGTAAAGCATCTGTGACGCCCACCGCTTAAATAAGTTACAAGTTTCCATCGGCTGCTGCAGTGGACACTTATCATCACGTAAACTGTTGTTTTGTTTTTCAGTTCATCTAAAAAAACCTTAAATTGCAATAGACAGCAATTTCATTGGTGCCAGCAGGGGTCAATCCCAAGTTGATACATAGTGTAAAATTTACTGTGAGTGTTTACCCCTTGAGCCTAAAATGGTTTGTGTAATTAAAAATATTCGGTTAATAAATTACAAATATTCGGTTAATATTTTTCGAGAATTCTATAAAGGCTAGTGCAGAGAAGTAAATTTTGTTCCCCTTTACTATTAAAATATCATGTAAAAGAGGCGCGGGATAACATTCCATGCCTTTAAGGTTCGCCGCAAATTTGTTACAGATTCTGGGAATTTCGAATCACCTACAAAATATTTAACAATTTGAGATTGTTCATTGACTTTTTTACACATGAACATAGTTGCTTTGTCACTCTTTCCTCGTTCGTTCTTTCTACATGACCAAACCACTGAAGCATTCCTTTCTTAATCCTGGTGACAAAATCATCTTGCAAAGCACGCTTTTCTCTTATCACTATGTCTCACCCTGTAATTCAGATTCAGCCCTAGGATATTTTAATGACCGCATTTCTACAGCATTTATTAAGCTAAGAAGCACAACTTCTTGTGCTACTTAGTTTAATAAATGTTTTACCTTTACCTTTACATTTACTACAATACATTAAAGTAAGGACTAACACAGCATTATGAATTGCCATACGTGTCTTTTTTGGCAAATTCTGTCTTTTCATAATAAAGTATAGAGGACCATTCCATTTCCTGCATTCACTCGTTATTCTATATCCTTATTATAATATTTACCATCCCTGCTAAATACATTTTTTATGTAATAAAGGTAACAAACGGGCATACAGTCCACCTGATGGTAAGTGAATGCTGTGGCCAATAGTCATCTACATTTATTCTCGACTGATAATCAAAATGCAGATGCCTTGTCACTCCTGAGGACTAATATGGATTGTCTCTTATCTAGTTAAAAAGGGTCTCCGGATCCCTACACTCACCATACGATACACAGCAACATTAAGCTGCTATTTTACGCTGGTATTATGTGAGAGCGTGGTCCTTCCTCAGTCGAGTCGACCCATTCGTGCTATGATCTATAAAGCTATATTAAAGCTGCAGCGTGGCTCTACCACGTATAAAGCGTCGCTCTACTACGTACATAACCCAAATACACGAACTCATCCATTTGCTCAATTAACTCATATGACTTAATCATCGGCGTACAAAAGGCATTCGACGGTTAACTCACCAATTCTTAACCCACATTCTCCACCTTTCAAAGTTTCTTAAAGTTTCGTAAGTCCATCAATAGGTTGAACAGCCACGGGAAAGCTACACATTTTTGTTTGACATATTTTTGGATGCTAAACTAGTCCAAGTAAACCCCGTTGATTCTGACACAAGCCTTAGATTCCTTATAAAGAGAATTTAATGCCTGTATCAAACTAGCGCTCAACCCAAATGAGTTGAGTGTTTGCTGTAACACATTCTTATCTATTCTGTCATAAGCCTTTCCCAAGTCCATGAATACACAAGAGCCTTTGTGGTTTTTGGCCAAAAACTTCTGCACAATCATGCGCTTAGAAAAGACTTGATCTGTACACTACATTTCCTTTCAAAATCCAGCTTGCATATTCCTAATTCTTCCATCAGTTTCTTCCATAACTCTTTCAATTAACACCTAAGTATACAGTTTACCGACAATGCTAAGCAAGCTGATACCACGGTAGGTTTTACAGTCCTATTGTGACCCTTCTCCCTTGTATAATGGGATTACAACCGCTTTGCACTAGTCTTCCAGTACCCGCTTCATTTCCCAACATAAATTAAACTCCAGCCCTTAGCATCTCGAGATGATACTCTATCATATCCGGTTGCTTTAATGCTTTTCATTGATTCCATTATTTCATCTACATTTATCTCCCTTTTGTAATTCTATTCTTATTTAATTCAGACGACTCATCACTCATAAACCACAACGTATTATTTTACAGTCATTCGTTCTCTTACTTACACCACATATTTTGGTGGTAAGGTAAAATTATAGCACATATATGCCCCACTGCTTGGCACACACCTCCTCTCATTTCTGAGTGGTATTTAGTGAAAAAGAGTGACCGCCTCGCTGCATCAATGCGTGTAGGTAGACTTCATATGTCATTGAAATGCTTTATGAGTTTTCCAGACGTGCAGTTTCATCACGATGTTTTGTTTTAAAGGGCGCGTGATAATGAGCATTAAGTGCACATTACAGTAAAAAATGTCATTAGTGCCGGCGGGGATCCAACCTGTGTTGCCCGCGTAATGTGATATTATAGCGAGCACTTAGTCCTCGAGCTACCACGGTTCATTAAATACACATAAAATAATCTTTATCTAATTGCTCCACGGAAATGACTGAGGGAGAGAATATTGTTACAACGCAACTTAACGGTCTCTACACGGCAGACTATACGGCCATATAAATGCATGTCTTGGTATTTGTTGGTATTATCTATGAACAAGACTACCTCGTTGGTCTAGTGATCGTAAACACGATTGCTGATCCTGAGCTCCCGGGTTCAAATCCTGAGTCGGGTCAAAATCAATTATTAATTCTATTAATAAAATTTTCAGTAGCAGCGCGGAGTCAGGAAATTATCGGTGAAAACACGTAAAGCCGTTGGTCATGCGCCTGATGTATCTCCGGTTGTCTAGAATTTAAACAGAGTGTACACTTGTGCTTGCGCATACACTCGGGCACTATAATCCTATCTTGCGCAAATAGCTAATTTTCGTTGAGACGTTGGCCGAAATTAGATATGGAGGAATTATATTATCTATGATGGCATGATTCCGCGATGCAAATTGTCGTAATTTTATCATATAGCTGCCTCAAGACATCGCATCGAGTTTTAATGATGAATAGATAATAATATGTACAGAGATTTGTTGGCGCTTACTCGCTATTGCAAAGCGTCAGTTATGTTTGCTGATGCAAAAACTGACAATATTTACGCAATCATGCGAAAAACAGGATAGTCTCATGTAATACTCGAGTGACCCGTACCGAGTCCTACGGATGATAAGCAACAGAGTGGATTCCAACCTCTTGCAAGGTTTAATAATCTACAAGTTTTATGAGTTCTATGAAGCGACGAGCCACAAAAGTTTGATGTGTCTGTATTAATAGTTTTGCATGGTTTTTGTGTTCAGTTTTTAGTAACATAGCACGTAAGGACAATAGTACATATAGTACTAACGTTACGTACAGTGTCTGAAAAGAAATGATCAATAATAGAAGTACTAGCTAGCGCATAATAAGGTGGCTTGCTTGTAGTTGATGCAGTAGGAGCGAAATGTACTGATGTTATCATCGGCATAATACAAAGACCAACACAAGTCCAATGCTGAACGTAGCCACCAGCATATAGGTTACCTAAACATTTAAAAGTCGTTTATAGTTTAAGTTCTGATTTTCAATCGTTAGATAAAAGTTATCCACCAAGTAAATTATAACCCCACTGAATACAAAAGTGAAACAATTGTATTATTTTATTAAACAATTGTAATCCTGGTGATATATATGTAGTATGATACATATCTAGTATGGACACCAGTCTCTCACAAAGGTCAAAATTATCTACAACCGTATTATTTAAGAAATAATGTGAAATTATATACCTTTGTGAAGAGAAAAAAAATGATTTATTATTATTATGTGTGGGGTATCTATATAGTTTTCTCATCTGGTTGGGATGTATAAATATATAATTATAAACGAAAATGAAAAGATAAACATACAAAAATATCAATAAAATAAAATAAATATGAAAATACATAAATAAATAAAAGCCCAACCAGATGGAAGCCCTCGGCAGGGGAGACCAAACGGCCGAGGGTTAGGTGGAAAGGGAAAGAAACCGGCGGACGATGCGGGCGGTATCGAGGAGCACCGCCTTCTGCATTTGAGCCTGGAGCGGTCCGCCACGTAGTCCCAGCCGCCTCAGATGACCCGAGAGGCTGACTGGGATTAGCCCGTTTGCAGAGACGACTACAGGAATAATTTCGGTCGGCAGACCACCCCACATGTCGGTCACCTCGTGAGCCAGGTCCAGATATTTTGTTTGCTTATCTGTTTCGGCTTTCACGAGGTTCTCGTCACACGGAATGGTAATGTCGACCAAAAATATCCTTGACTGTGCCCGGTCCATCAGCACAATATCAGGCTTATTCGCAAGAATAGTCCTGTCTGTGATGATGGCCCGGTCCCAATAGAGCCTGGCGCGATCATTTTCGAGCACGGCTTCCGGCAAGTACTTGTAATACGGCAACTTCCGATCCACGAAACCGTATTTCAGAGCGAGCTCCTGGTGTAGAATTCTGGCTACTAGGTTGTGCCTGTGCAAGTACTCAGAGTTAGAAAGCGCCGAACAACCGGAGATGACATGCCTAAGTGACTCACCGGGATGGCGACAAGCTCGACAGATGTCGATGGTGCCATCCTTTAGGATGTATCTCCGATAGTTGTTGGTCTTAATAACCTGATCCTGTATTGCACAGACAAAACCCTCGGTTTCCCCGAAGAGGTCACCAAAGCGTAGCCAGTGGAGAGAGGTTACTGTGTCTACGAAAGGCCCATGTAGAGACTTGTAGAACCTCCCGTGGAGCTCCTTCTCCTTCCATACGGTCTCCCGGTCGGAAATTGTCTGCACTGCCGGGCCTTGCCATTGCTCGTTGGCTAAGGATAGAGGGGTAAGTCCTTTATCACAAGAAATGACGTCCTTATAGAATGGATCATCCGATCTCGCCAGGAAGTAATTACGGAGGCTGCACACTTCGCGATTATGCATGGTGAGCGCGCTCAAGAAGCCACGCCCACCATGCTTTCGCGGCAAGTACAGCCTCATTACCGACGATCTCGGATGATGCATCCTGTGGGACGTCATGGTAGTGCGGACTTTTCTATCCAGGGCGTTAAGTTCAGTCTGAGTCCACCTGAGTATGCCAAAGGTATACATGAGGACAGGTATGACCCAGCCGTTATATGCTTGTGTCTTATTCACACCGGACAAAAGGCTGTTAAGCACTTTGGTCAAGCGTGCATAAAACACGTCGCAAACTGACTGTTTCATACCAGCCTCATCGATACCAATGTTCTGTGTCATACCCAGGTATCGGTATGTTTCAGCCTCGGAAAGGGTCCTTAAGTTGACGGGCATAGATAAGTCTATGCCCTCAGAGTTAGCAACCCTACCCCTCTCAACATGGAGGACCGCACACTTATCCGTCCCCAGCTCCATTCCAATGGAATTGCTAAAATCACAAGTGATGTTTAGCAGTTCCATAAGATGGGAGCGACTGGAGGCGAATAACTTGAGGTCATCCATATAGAAAAGGTGGGTCACTTTTGTCCCTCCTTTCCGTAGCTGAAATCCCCTCCCGGAGCCCTCCAGTAAGGTACTGAGAGGGTTCAGAGAGAGGCAGAACCATATTGGACTCAGACAATCGCCCTGGAAGATACCCCTTCTTATCCTTATGTGGTTCTCCGCAGCCATCATCCGCTCGCCCAGATGACAAAGGATCGTACTCCACTGCCCCATACACTGCTCGAGGAAGTCTCTAACTGTACAGTCTATCTTGTACAGTTCGAGGACTCTCTTTAGCCATGTATGGGGCACCGAGTCGAATGCCTTTCTGTAGTCTATCCAGGCGGCGGAGAAGTTCCGACGGTTGCGTTTCACCACTTTGCCAATGACCGCGTCAATGAGGAGTGGTTCCTTGGTTCCACGACCGCCGCCCCGACATCCATTTTGAGCGCGCGACATCACCTGATTTGAGTCCAGGTGACGAGTGATTCTCGCGCTCAAAATGGATGTTAGTGTCTTATATATGGTCGGTAGACATGTGATGGGGCGGTATTTGCTCGGGTCTGTGGTACTCTGGCCTTTAGGAACCAAATGGGTGATCCCAGTAGTGAAGAGGCTCGGGAGCGACTTCTGGTTGAGAACCTCTTGAAACTGTCGGGCGAGCACAGTGTGACACACCACGAACCCCTTCAGCCAGTAGTGATGCAGCCCGTCGAGTCCCGGACTTTTCCAGTTCGGGGCCCTACGGACCGCCTCAGCTACGTCATCCGGCGTTATGGTGACGGGGTCCATGGGCGTAATACCCGCACACTGACTCGCCACAACTTCCGTCCAAGGGCCCTCGTTGTGGTTTACGGGCTCTGACCACAGGCTGCGCCAGAATGCGACCGTGTCGGCCTGATTCGGTACTGGGCCCGTTCCACTTACCATTGGTCGCTCCAATGATTTATAGAGCCTCTTCTGATCACTCTGGAAGAGACGATTCTGGTTGAACCGTGTCGACCTCTCGGTATATCGCCGAATTCGCTTTCCCCAAGCAGCGATTCTCTGCTTCAGGTCGTCTATGCGCTCCGTCAGTTTTTGCATTATATCCGGCTGGGACAAACTAACATTTGTCCCAGCAAACGCCATCCTGACGGTGCGCACAATCCTTGGCCTGGTATTGCCTGACCTGAAGCATATCAGTCTGCCGATGAGGGCCCTAGCCTTTGCGATACGTTCTTCAATTCTTGTTCTCCAGGCTGGGATAGCACTACTTTGTCCAGTAGTGCGTCCAGCCGTGGAAAGTTTGGCGCCTATAATACGGCAGACTGCCAGTGCGGCGCCAAAGAGAATTGAGTCCGTCTCGCAAAGGTCCCGGCTGGCTTCCAAATAGGTCACCAGCATTGGGTTCAGAGCCCTCACGACAGCCCGATTCCGCTTGCTTAGGGCTATGCGGGGAAGTCGCGGTCGATTTTCGAGAGGCGTACTGCGCGTTTCCATAATCGCCTCTTCCAATGTACTCCTCATTTGCTCTATTTCTAGTTCCTGGGTGAATGTTCCATCATCATTTGAATCAGCAACCACTGGGGTATTCTCGGCGGCATCCACGTGTGCGGGTTGTTCTGCAACTTGTGGCACCGCACCCTCAGTCGTAGCGTTTTCATTTGATGAGGGAACAGCCTCACGTCGTAGCCGTTCGAGTTCGGCGCCATCAAATATATTTGAGCGTAAGATATACCGAACTCGGTCTGCCAGGTTTTGCTCGGTGACAGTAATAGATGGCTCCAGCTCAGTAAAAAGACGATGCATCCTAGCCCGATACGCGAAACCTCCAATTTCTCCCCCTTTCGCCCTAAAATACGCCCGCAATGCGTTTGAATTCATATTGATGGTCCATCGCATGCGGCGTACTCCACCAGTGGCGGGTGCCGATTGCTGGGCCTGCGAAGACCCTGCCGACACCAAGCAAGCTGGTGGGGATGATGGATGCGAGGGGCTGCTGGGTGGTCGTGCAGCACCTCGCGCTCGGCTGGCGGTTCGCATGCTGTCGCGTCCAGCGCCAGCTCCAGACGCGCCCTGACGACCTCCAGGCAGCGGCCCTTTGCGCAATCTTCTATGTTCCATCATCCATACAGGGCGTCATTTAACGGGAGACGCCCAGACCCGGCGCCGTTTCATGGTGAGGCCATATGCACAAGCGGGCCCTTGCACCATCAATTTTTGCCGAGGCACGGCGCTCACACCTCTTGGCAAGGTGCTGACTGACTGCGCGGACGTAGCGGTTTTGTCACATAACCGTCACGTCAACGGGCGATGGGGTCGTCACTTCCCTACGCCATTAATGTTATTATTATTATTATTAACTTTTAATTTGTTTGGATTGTATTTTATCCTAAAAAAGTTCTGATATTGTAAAATCATCAGTTAAAAAATAACTTAAATGCAATTTATTATTATTATTTTTTTCAAGCGTTTTAGTTTGCGTTATAACAAATCTAATCAGATAACTTTAACACGTATGGAAATGATTCTTTGCTAGCTCCGCTCTTTGTCCTCGGTGAGGAAAGCGTCATTGATATGAATCCGGGACAAGAACAAAGAAAGAAAGAAAATAGTTTTACTTATTATATTATTAAAAGTTTATTAATTCTTAAAAGTTAAAAACAGGAAATTATAAAGACATTTTTATCTTTAATGAGTGCGTGTGCGTATGAGTGTGTGTGCGCGCGCGTGTGTGTGAAACTACCTTTTTAAATCTTGCTTATATGCACAATAATAAACTTTAAGTTACTATTTCGAATCTTTATATAAATTTCACATTGAAATAGAACTCGTTCTTTTCTCTTAATGCTTTAGAAAGTTATTTATTTATGTACTTATTTAGACAACAACAAAATTCAAGCTTTACAAATTGTAATAAAAATTTACTTAACCTTTGAACGAAACGTGCTTTATCATGATTATAGGTAACCATGGCTTGGTAAAAATAACACAAGGTAAATAACAAAAAACGATTAAAAAAGAAAAGTTGTGAGTATGGGGAACTAAACCGAAGGGCTAGGATATCTCCGAAAGTGAATAATTGTGAGTTAATTAATTATGAATATTTAATCTTTTAGTTTTATGAAAATGGATTACGTTGGAACAAAGCATTGATGTGTTTTCCACTACATCAATATGTCTACAGATAACCGGTGTTTTGAAAGCAACAGGATACGGCTGTAATTACAAAAGTTGGAAATGCTTTACGATAAGTTTGTAAGGCCTTAGTTGGTAGCGTTGACAAGTACTCGTATTACTTATTAAATGACAATGGATCGCTATTTAATATGCAATACGTCTAAACAAATGTCTAGATCGTGAAGTGACTGCGTAAGAAAACCAACTACTGTCATCTCGTGCGAGTTGTAAGAAGCGAGCGAGGTAAACTGAAACGGGAGATGAACAACAGCATTTTCCTGATACCAGCTTAAAATAATAAAACACTACGTCTGCTATCCCACCTGTCAAGCGTGGCAATTATGGCAAATATTCCCACAATGAGGCAAACTACGGGTGAGGCCTATGTTCAGTAGTGGAACTTAAGATAGGCTAATATTAATGATGATAAAGTAGGAATGTAATACGCACTTATTGAGTAATGAATGCGTAAGAATATCAATATGATCTCGTGGGTGTTGTAAGAGGTGACAGAGAGAAACTGGACAAGGAGATGGGCAGCAGCATCTTTCTGATAATAACAAAATAGCAATCATACCTGTCAGATGCGGCAGCTATGTTAAAATACCCTCATTTGAGGCAATCTATAGGGGAGAACTATGTTAAAAAAATAATAAAATATCTATTAAGTTATATGCGTAAGGTGAAATAAAATTAATTTATATGTTTTTTTATTAGCTAAGTGGCGGCGCGGAGCACTCGCTTTGATTGTGTCTACTGCGGCAAAGACGTAAATCGTAAGAGTAATTGTTTAATGTAACGAGCTATCAGACATAAGAGTTGAAAATGTGGGCAACTGCGAGCGTAACTTCGCTTGCAGTTGCCCACATTTTCAACTCTTATGTCTCAGTGTATGAAGGGTAGTATTGCTTACAAATTACAAATATTTGAAACCGAAAAAGCGTGACCGTGTAATGGCGGTGCAAGAATACACACTGCCTATATCGCCACGTGGGTGTTATAAGTAGCGAGAAGGAATAACTAACCAGGAGATGGACAGAAGCGCTTTTGTAATAACTACTAGAAAATACAACAAAGTTTGTTTGGACGTAAATATCGCCATTATGAGGCAACTTGTGGGCTGGCCAATATGCAACAGTAGACTTTTACAGGTTATAATAATTATTTAATAAATTTGAAGTCATTTTATACTTTTCAGAGGAATTCAATTTTGAATATTATAGGATTTTTTTAAAACTTAATTACTAAATTAAGAAAATATGATGGGAGCCGGAAGCGAGATATATGAATAAATAGCGCAATAAGAACTCCAATGTTATATGCTTGCGACAGTGGGAAATAATAAAACATGGTAATGGTGAATAAAATATTTGCGGCACATATTTCGTGGCAGTGGGGACTAAGTGTATACGAGGAAGTCATGCTGCAGGTATATTATGGTTGTAGCACGAATGGGTCGGCTTGAACGGAGAATGACCAAGCTCCCAAAGAAAACCAGCGTAATATAGCAGCATAATACTGCTGTGTTTCGTATAGTGAGAGTAGAGAAGCGGAGACCGCTACCTCACCTCTACCTTTACCTTTTACTGGAAACGAAGCGTTCTGTTTTAGTCCTTAGTTAATATAAATGTCTATGAACCACACAAGGACTGTGCACGTTTGTCACCCTTATTTCATAAAAAAAAAACAAATCTAGCAAGGTCAGACACGATTTTTGGTCCGGCGTAGATCGCTGTTAAAACTTCTAATAAAACTGACTTTTGTTCTCTGATATATCGGAGAACAAAAATCTATGTTGTATGAAGATATGAGCATATATTTCATCTGATAGTAGAAAAATGCTGGTGCAGTGTGATCTTACAATGGTTAGGCGTAGGCCACTGTCGGTTCAGGAATATATAATCGATAAAGTAAAATGGGGTGAGCGTAATTTAAACCAAATTGACATGCATAGCAAATATTGTAACGACAAATTAAGAGAAATCGATTTCCCGTATGAAATAAATCAGTGTTGTGATAGTATGTGTGATGTTTTAGCACATCGATCTGTAATAGATAAATTATATATGTCCATTGTTAATACCTTGTGTGAGGCCTCTAAGTACAGTTACGACAGTGATCGCGAGCGGGAGATAGTCATAAATCGTGGTCGACCAATACTAGGGTGAATCTGGCACGTGCGCGATGCTCACCGCGATGCTCGACAAAAATTCCTAAATTGGATTTGGCATGGAAAACCGCGTGGTGGGTATATTTATAATGATATGATGGAATCTAAAAGAGTATTTGGTTGCGCGGAAAAACCATTCGTAATTTTATTTAACAAATTCCTTCCTTCGACCTTTCCTTCACCTGTCGTCCCTCGTACACACCGGGCTGGTGGGGTGAGAGGGGAAAGAAGATGATTCTAGAATATCGCGTGATTTGCAACCAGTGAGAAGCGCGCCCCTCCGAGATGCCTTGAAAGTAGGACCGAAGTAATATAAGCTAGCACACGGCACTTGCGCGCTCTCTTCCCTTCGGCCGCCAGTTGAAACCACACCGCCTAGGACAGTCGAGTCCTAGAGGGCTTTGCCCACGCGCACCGCTAGTTCAACCGCATTAGCCTATAGCAGTCGAGCTCCAGGAGTAACCGCCTCGCCTCGTGTGAGATATAGTCGCGCACCGCTCTCTTCCATCGCACCATCGACCAGGACCGCATCTCTGGGGCCCAAGGAGATCCGCCAGAAGTCGCAACGCAGCAGCAAAGCGTCCAAGCCGCATCGAAGTAACACCCCGGTAAGTGCGATTCCTTATTTACGGTACCCTGCTTGAAATTCGTGTTTTATTAGTTCATCCGCCCCTAATTTAATTCCTCCTAACGTGGTCAAGCAGGGGTTCCTACATACACCTTGGCAAGCAATAGGTTTTCTTGGAAGAGCGAGTGCATTTTTAGGGAACCACGTTCCAAATCCGCCATCTAGCTTAAGCATCATCCGCGTATACAGTCCACATAGTGTAACATCTCGCGTAGTAGGGTCAAGGCTCGACCGGGGAATAGGCCCGCCGCTCAACCAGTATTTAAACGAAAACTTAAGTTTTGTCAAAATAATCAAGACCAGATCAAGAAGAATAAACTAGCGTATCAACATAGGAATAAAGATTTTCTTGGGTTTTTTGAAGCATACTAAGCAGTTGAGTCCTAGAGCAGGTACCCCGGTGAGCGTTGGGGGTGTAAATGAACCGGCGAAGATAGCCAATCTTTTTAGCAGTCAGTTCCGGGTTCAGTCTTCTTTACAGTCACCTGTTAAAGTCGATGCTGAGGTTCATCACAAGACTGGTGCATCAACTTATGTGCCCGATCGCATCACCACCAGGGACATCGCTGTTTTGATAAATGGCATGACTGGAGGAAAGTCACCTGGTCACGATTGCCTTAGCATCGAGCACTTTCAGTTCGCTGGTCCGTACTTACCTAGACTACCGGCGCTCTTGTTAACCCTATGTATGAGGCACTCGTATTTGCCGGAAGAGCTGATGAGAACGGTCGTAGTTCCGATTTTCAAAAATAAAACTGGAGATATTTCAGATATGTGTAACTATCGGCCCATTTCATTAGCGACAACTGCGGCTAAGATACTTGACAGTATGCTTGAGCGACAGTTAAAAGTACATATTAAGTTAAACGATGCACAATTTGGTTTTGGACCAAATCTATCAACTGAGTGTGCAATACTGTCGCTGAAGCACACTGTGGGGTATTACAGTGTAAGGAATACACCAGTGTACGCAGCCTTCCTGGATATTTCAAAGGCTTTCGACCTTGTCAGGTATGACATTCTGTGGGATAAATTACAAAAGGCTGGTCTACCCGTCTCGTACATTAGTATTTTTAGCTATTGGTACGATCATCAAATTAATCAGGTAAGGTGGTCTAGTGCACTGTCGGACGAGTACAGATTGGA